CCCCTAATTTGAACCCAGAAGGAGATGTGGTTAAGATCATCATCTATTTGGTTTGGCAACCAGCGTTGAATGCCCACCATCCATTCGTTGAAAGACCATGGACCACGTCGAAGAATGGAGAGCATGACATCTTCAGTCTGGAAAATAAATTGGATCTTCTGGTTCGGAAGAACACGTCCGGTAACTTCGTCCCCGACACCCCATAGGCGAGGGAGGGCCGATAACATTGCCCTGATGTTTTGTCGGCGTGGGTTGATCGGTTTAGCCACCAATGTGAAACGATTTTCCTCAATTGCCTCTTCACATAGATCAGATGGGAGATCAACTACACCATCTTCGATTCCAAGGGAGATTTCTTGGAGTTGTTTGTGAATCTTTTCTGCCATAATTAAGAGAAACAGAGGAAATTTTTTCTTTGAATTTAGATCAACATAGGATTGTTGAGACAAAACACGGGGTATAAATAGGGTTTGGGTCTCGACGGTTATCCGCATAACCGTCAAACCGTTATTTATTTCCGACATAAGACGCCGTTGACCGGCGAGAGAGACTCTCCGGGGAGGGAGAACTAGAAAGTCGCGACCTTTAAGAAAAATCGCCAGAGAGAGAGAGAGTTTTAATCCTTCTTTTTGTAATGTTTAGGTTTATTGTGTCATGATTAACTGTGATATTAAATATTCTTCATAACTACTTGAAAAAGTAATTTTAATATTGATTTGGCAAATTTTAGAAATTTTGGTGAAGCTGCAAAGATTTATTTATTCCAAAATTGCAAAATAAATGAAGAAATTTTTATTTAATTACTTTGAATACGTTAATTTATAAAAATACATTGAATAATACAATAAAATAATTTGCAAAATACTAATCAATTGGTTTTTAGTAACTCAATTCAAGCAACAAAATAAAGCACTTGAGATTACTATTTATAACAGTTTGATGGAATATATTCATCGCATCTGAATTCTTAATTTCAATAACCATTAAATTTCTTTTTGCAATGGTTTGCTCGAAAAAAGTTATAAATCTGAACCTCAATTAATAGAAATAAAATCAAAGATCTCTGCATTTGCACATCTTAAATCCGGAATCATTTTTTTCTATCTCTTTTGTAGTGTTACAAATTACAATGAGAAAACTAGGACTTTATAGAAAGAATCAAAAGTTATTGGTGTGAATAAGAATACACAACTCTTGTCGGGGCCCGGGAGTAATCTAATAACTAAATATTCTTACGGTGTTCAAAAAAAAAAAAAAAAAAAAAAAAACTAAATATTCTTACAAAATAAAAGAACACATTAAATGCAAAAAGACTGACCAATCGGATAAGAAGGAAACTTTGTAGGAACAAGAACAAGTTTGAAACCAAAACAAAAATGGAAAAGACTCTCTCTGTCGAAGAAATCTCCGGAAACCATCTCTGGTTGGAGCTGGCCAAAGAGACCAATGGGATGAACCGTAGTGACTCCGAGTGGGCATTCCAACGCTTCTTACAAGAGTCCTCTGCTGGAGAAGCTGCGTCGTATGGTGTTTCAGTCTCTGGACCTCCTTCTCCGAGTGTTCCTGTAGATTCTGAGGAGTACAGAGAGTTTCTTAAGAGTAAACTCAATCTTGCTTGTGCTGCTGTCGCCATGAAAAGGGTACAAAACTAGTCTCTATCTCTCTTAACCCTTCAGTTTTAGTACCTTCTTGTTTGGATTTTGAGTTTCAAAGTTTGATGAAAAGAATAAGTTTCAAAGTTTTTGTTTTTGTTTTTTTTTTACTATACTAATAACTGAAAACATGTTCTGAAGATAAGCAGAGTATATTCTGTCTCTAGAGACTAGAGGATCCAAAAGGATCAAACCTTTCTCTCATTTGACTTGTACTAGAAGTTAAGAACTAAGCTTATGTTGTTCTTATTGAGTCTTGGGATCTATAGGATATGATTTGAGTCTGTAAAATTTATATTTTTCTTTTGAAATTTATTTTGAGTTAGAAGAATAAAGGATACTAATTTGCTATTATCTTCCCAAAGACTTTAGACTCATTTTTTGATAATTGAGTTGATGTGTTAATATGTGAAAACTTGATAGGGAGCTTTCAGCAAACCTCAGGATACCTCTGGTAGACCTGAGAATAGTGGAGCCACTGCATCAGACCAAGGCTCCTTAGCTTCTTCCAAAGGTTTTTTTTCTTTAATTTGCTCAAAAGTCAAAACAGTGCTTTAATGTTTTCTGTAATGATATTGAGTTTACCTCCATGATGGGACCTGTAAAGATATTTATGTTTGCTCATGTTGTGTTAGAGAGTTCTGTTAAATACCTACATTAACAAATGCTGAACTAATCTATATGGTTTTCATTTGCAGCTACACCAGTGATGAGCAGTGCTGTAACAAGTGGATCTGAGCTCTCTGGTGATGAAGAAGAAGCTGATGGTGAAACAAATATGAACCCCACCAATATTAAGCGTGTCAAAAGGTTTGGATTAATATCTACTATTGCCTCTCAGAAGACAAAAGCTTGCTTTCACAGGAACATGAGCCTTTGTTTGTTTATCTGTTGTGATTACAGGATGCTCTCTAACAGGGAATCAGCTAGACGGTCCAGAAGAAGAAAGCAAGCACACCTCAGTGAGCTTGAGACACAAGTATGTTACTCTTGCTGCCTCATTAGTTTCTTTCTTTTTCACCTTTCTCAGCTCACTTATTACAATCTCTCAGTCTTGTTTTTTGTTCTTCTCTCTATGATAGGTTTCACAGCTGCGTGTAGAGAATTCAAAGCTCATGAAGGGTCTCACTGACGTAACTCAAACATTCAATGACGCAGCTGTAGAGAACAGAGTTCTTAAAGCCAATATTGAGACACTACGAGCAAAAGTAAAAATCCATTTTCTCCTAACCAAAACTCACTTAACAGACTATGATTAGACTGTATTGAAACATTTTTACTTTTACAGGTGAAAATGGCTGAGGAGACAGTGAAGAGACTCACAGGCTTGAACCCAATGTTCCACACTATGCCTCAGGTTTCAACTCTCTCTAATCCTTCAGAGACGTCAGATTCTTTAGACACGACAAGCATTCAAGTTACCACACCAGAGATCAGCTCAAGCAACAACAAAAACAAGGCCTTGGTAGGGTGCAAAATGAACAGGACAGAGTCTATGCGTAGAGTTGCGAGTTTGGAACATCTGCAGAAACGTATACGCAGCGTTGGTGATCAGTAGCTTGTGAATTAAAACAAAACTTGTTCTGTAAAAATTGTCACAAGACGAGACATAATATGTTCTGTAAAGATGTCTGTGTTTAACCCTTGTGAATTGCCTATTAGTTATCTCTATCTTATGTTCAATTTATCTCCAACATATGCACTATCTTGTAAATACGACCAAGTTAACAAAAAATATCAAACTCATGCTTCATCCAAATTATCCGGTGTATGATGCTGAGGTTGTGCAAACATTATTTGATTTGATCTTTAGTAAATTTGTAGATGATTTTAAGGCTTTAAATAGTGGCAAGGAAATATTTAAATGAAAAAGAAAAACAAATCTCAAGGTATGGGTTTTCAGGTTTTAACTTTGGTCTTCCATAGCTTAAGGATTTGTGTTTGGTTAATAACTTAATGGTTTTGGTTCATCTGTTCATTACATTTCTCTTCTCAGGGAGGATAATGCAAATCCCAACAGGAATCTGAATTTTTTTTCTACTCAAACTGATTATCTTTTTGGATATATTTTTATATGCCATTTCAAAACTAAACCAATTAATCTTATACTCATCGTTTGAATAGTTGTTAAATGATTAGTTTTTTTGTGTTGTTTATAGTTAGGAAGGCTCCTATACAAAACTTAACATTAATTAATATAAATGATTATAATATACTTGTTGATATATATATGATCAAGTTTTGATAACTAGGCGTATATAATTTTTATTAGAAGTTTTACAGTTTCAAAAAAAGTACACTGTTAAGAGCAAGATTATTGGAGTTTCTCTTTTTAGTGTTGTTAAAAATGGATTTAATTAAATCAAAACAAAAACAAGAATATTGGAGATTCTCACTCTCCTTTGATTATTCTCTTGAAGTTGAACCCGACGGGGAAGCGGATGTCTTTGTTGGCTGAGGCACAGAGGGTTAAGACTAATAGACAAGTGTTTAATGTCGAGTTTAGTTATCAATGGAAGGAGATAACAACATGAGCTTGGCAGGGAGGAAGAATTGAATTGGATTCAGGTTTCTAACACTAAGAAGCCATTGTTCAATCTCTCCAAGGTACAAAAACGATTTAAATCTATGGATTCGCTATTGATTTATGTATCCATGGGGTTTGTTACCCGAGCTATGATTCTATCTTCTACAGACATTATTATTATTATTAGTTATTCTTGTGTTTGGTAATATTTTGAAACTGTGTATGTCTTGTTAAGTTGTCTTGTTTTTTTCCACAGATGTCGAGTTGTCTGCACTTGGAATATGGGTAAAATATTATCTGCTCCTCTCTTTGTGATGTTTTATGTATTATATCAAGATTTAATGTATGGTTTTAAAGGTAATATTGTAACTGAGTTGATATAGCGCTGGCCAAGTTTGATGAGTTAATGGCTGCAGCCAATGAAGACAAGGATTTGTATTAACAGCATTTTGCATTGGTATGATCGGTGGCGATGTCATCAAACCATATGCTGAGCTCAAATTCGACTTTTTTGCGCATTTTCAGAATTTGGAGCTCCGGCAAGCAGTTGCTGTGGTGGTGGTACAGCACCATACACCTTGCTTGAGGATACCCTACAAGTTTTTGTAAGTGTCACACACTACACTATCTACCTTGACCGTCTGAGAACCAACCAACCCGACATGTGAGTTTGTTTTCTGTTTCATCATCTCCTCAATCATAACTTCTGCACGATCAACTGCTAAAATTAACAAATGAAAAACCAGACCAAAAAAAAAAGAAAACAGAAGCAACTTTAGTCACAGTAAAGCACAAATCGTCATCTTATTAGTCTAGGCCTTTCAAGCCCCCGTGATTAGTGTCTGTTGAGCTAAAAAGATATAATATACATATGGGCAGCAGCAGATATATAATGGCTTTTCACCATCAGGAAGTGCATTTAATTTGGAGGACGATACTTTCCCCTACAAGAAATAAAATTCATCAATCCAATTTAGAAAAGAAAACTAAATTTATGTGCGTTAGATATGTTGGACAAACCTAGTAATCACCACAGCACCAGTAGATCTCTGAATCTGCAAAACGAATAGACACTGAAAACACGACAAGGAATAATTGTGTCTTATATAATGCACAGAAAACCACACATGCTTACCTCTTCTTGAGTTGAGACTTGAGCGTTTATAGTAAGTTTGTGCCTAAGAGAAGCCTCAGTATCATTAATAACGATTTCTCTAGCTATGGTCAACTCATCCCGGATGGACATGCCACCAAAAAATAAATACAATGAGTCATCATGTTAGCATTACAGAATAACAGGATAAAGAAAAGAGAGAAATATCCACAAACAACAGCTCGTTCAGCAGTACAGTACATATGTAATAATGTTAAATGTCACAACACACAGTAACCATATTTGGGGTGATTGTGGAATCACATACCGTAACAGATAAAAACTGTACCAACCGCAGGGTCAAACTACTAATAACGAGAAAAAAAAAAAACTACCTATAACCGGATACCAGATAAACAACATGATGACATCATCTCTGCAATACCTAATAAATAGAGAAACTAAGAGAAGAGTTGAACCCCAAAAGAGAGTAAGAGTTTGCATGCAGTCCTCTAACGAAATCTATAAACCGGATACCAAATTAACAAGACACTAGGGTATATTTTTATTTTATATTTTTTTAGAAATTAAATTTTTATATTTGTATTTTTTTGTAGATTTGTAAATTTCATTATTGTCATATTTGTGCAAATTTTTTTTAAATGATTAGTAAGTGGTTTTGATAATTGTATTAAATTTATAATGTTGCATAATTATATACTTTTACCATAGTCATTTCACACATTAATTTTATACTTTATTTCAAAAAAGTTATTTAAAAAAAATAATAAAGTATAATTTCAGTTTTGTTTAGTAATCCAATATTAACTAAATAGATAAAATTATGGGACATTACCTAAACTAACACTTTCTTAGTACCCTATTTCACTTTTACCTTAACCACATTTATCTATAACCATATGATTAACTATTCCTAGATCTTTTTGTTTAGATTTGAAGAGATTTTAGAGTACAGTGTTTAAAATTTTAATAAAAATATAAATCAATATTTAAAATTAAAATAAAAAAATTAAAATAGTTTCAAAATTATTTTCGAATTTGAAAAAGAATATCTGGAAAATTATAAAAAATTCAAAAATATAAAATTTCGAATTTGAAAAGTTATAATTCGAAAATTAAAAATATATTTTTATTTTTTTTATTTTTTTAGAAAATACATTAATTTTGTACTTTATTTCTAAAAAGTTATTTAAAAAACACCAAAGTGTAATTTCAATTTTGTTTAGTAATCAAACATTAATTAAATAGATAAAATTATGGGATATTGCCTAAATTAATACTTTCTTAGACACTTATAACCATATGATTAGCTATTTTTAGATCTTTTTGTTTAGATTTGAAGAGGTTTTAGAGTAAAATGTTTAAATTTTTAATAAAAATATAAATCAATATTTAAAATTAAAATAAAAATAGTTTCAAAACGTATTTTCGAATTTTAAAAAGAATATCTGGAAAAATTATAAAAAATTCAAAATATAAAAATTTAGAATCTTAAAAGTGATAATTCGAAAATTAAAAATATCTTTTATTTATTTTTTATTTTAAAAAAATTAATTATTTATATTTATAAATCAATGGTATAAATGTCTTTTATTCCTTTAATAAATCTATAGAAGGTAAACATGAATAATAATAATACCAAATGAAAGGTAAAAGTGAAATTTTCCCTAATATTATATGTTTTTCATAAGAAAATATGATTTGATTTTATATATAATGATAATAACGTTTACACATAATACTTTTCATGCAATTAAAATGAGTTTTATCCATTTTAGAATAGATTTTGATTCACGCTTTCAAATCGTAAGATAATATTTGGTTGAAATATATTTATTTAATAAAAAATATATTTTATATATCTAATATATATATGAATAAATTTATATATAGACTATGTTTAAATTTGTGTGTATAGTTTATTTTACTTTTTTTCCTTAAAGATTATTTTTTGGAAATTTTGATTATTCTAACACTTGTTATGAATAATCTGTTTATTTAACTCGCTTATTTAATGCTATGATTTTATGTTTAATATTTAACATAAATAATATAATTCATTTTTTGTTTTCATACATTGATCAATTTTTTTTTATAATAAATCGTTTGTAATTTGTTTTAATAGTATATGTGTGTTTTATGACCAGTGTAATATAGCAAAGAAAATCTTAATGAAATTATATGAATGTTTTTTCTCAATTTTTTTTATTTTCATATTGATGGTTCAACTGAGAGTTTATAAATTGTTACTAACTGTTACGTTTAATAGTACAGCAAAAAGAAATACTATTTATATTTTGCTACATTTTTTGATAACCATATTATTGTTAATTATTGGTATAGTATATTAATACTGTCAATTTACTATTGTAGAAAAAATAAATATGGTTCAGTTATAAATGAGGTCATAGTTATAACTGTCAAGAAATAATTATTACTCATAATAAATATAAACGTGATTATATATTGGAGAGAAGTGGATCCTGACAGTTTTGGAGATTAAAGTGGAAGTTACAAAAATATATACTATTATTATTTATAAAAATTAACAGTTGGACTCAACATTCATCAATAGGGCATGATCCAAAATTAATAGTATTGATGATTCAAAATAAACAAGATGACATGTCATCTATGCAATAACTAAGTATTGAACCCTACAATTCCTAAGCTAAACTACTTAATCATCTAATAAATGATTAATAACTCGGTGAAGTCTTCATCCTACAAAAGCTAAACCCTAAGAAAAAAAAGAAAACTTTATCGTAAGATGATGATTCCAACTCTCTGTTCACACAGGGTTGATGTTCTATAAAAACACCTAAACAATCTAAACATTGGCAAATTCAAACACTGGATAGATGAAATGTGCCGAGAATTCTGAGGAAATTCTAACGAAAACGACTAGTTCTTTGGAATTTCCTCGCAATTGTTAAAATCCCCAACGACTCTTTAACGGTTATAATATAACCTCAGATTTGTGTCAATTTTTTCCGATGAATTCGGTTTTCCTCGGAATTCCGTCGGTATATTCCGAGGAAATTCCGAGAAAATTCCAATTTTTGGTTTCCTCAGTATTATCTCGGAATGTCCTCGGAATTTCCTCGATTTTTTCCGAAGATTTCCTCGGAATTTCCTTGGAATTTCTTCTGAATGCTTTCAGATTTTATCAAGGATTTCAGTTTCCGTCAGAATATCCGTTAGAATTACCATGTTTTCTTGTAGTGTTCATATTGTTATTGTCTTTACTTTTTATTATTTGTGACAAAATGAATAGACATACGTATATTGGTTTTTTATTATTTGTGACAAAATGAATAGACATACAGTATATTGGTTGTCTTACATATTAGCTCTTCGTTACATCAACTTTCTCGTTACAGGAACGTTTCTTATAAAACAAGATAACTACTTTTATGAACAATTAAAATTCATCATATTTTGTGATTCGTCATACATGTGATGCATGTACATTTACAGTCAGACCAACTCTTTTTCTAAAAAGACCAGGAATATAGAAGTATTACATTTAATCATATTCGCTCAAATCAATTGAAATTATGAAATTGATATAACCACAAAAGGAGAATACTAAAATAATTTGACGAAAATTAGGACTAGAGAGAGAGTGAGTAATTAGAGCATATGCAACGGTGTACTCCATCTTAGAGTCCTTAGGATTAGTTTAGTATTTTTTTTTTAAAAAAAAATAGTTCAGGATTGGGAGCAAAAGTATGTGTCCATTGGTGTTTTCGAATGTGGAATCCTTAGGAATTAAAAATATTATTTTTTTAATTTTTTGTAAATTAAAATTTCATTAATTGCATGATTAAAAAAAATACAGTGATTAAAAATAAAGATACAATGATTAAAAATAAAGACACAATGATTAAAAAAATATACAATAATTATTAATCTTCATCACCAAATTTGTTCCAAATATTCTCGATTAAATCATTATTCAATCGTTCATGTATACGCCTATCACGAAGATCATTCCGAACGCCAAACATATTATTCAAATTTGTAGGCCTTTCGGTTTTCACCTGTGAACTCCTAGTGACGTCTCCTTCTTCAAATTCAGATATATCATATTGCATGTACCCATCTCGTTCATTTTCAACTATCATATTGTGTAGTATGATACATGCTCTCATAATCTTCTCTATCTTTTCTTTGTCCAATGTAAGAACGGGGTTTCTCACAATTGCAAATCGAGCTTGCAATACTCCAAAATCCCGCTCCACATCTTTTCGGGTTGCTTCTTGAATTTTAGCAAATAACTCTTGTTTAGGACATTCAGGGAGTGAGATAGATTAGATAAATGTTGATCATTTTGGATATATACCGTCTGTGAGGTAGTATGCCAACTTAGACATGTGTCCACGTACCTTAGCCCGGGAGCTCGACCTTCTAAAATGTCATCAAACACAGGAGACCGATCGAGGACATTGATATTATTTAATGTACCTGGAGGTCCAAAGAAAGCGTGCGAACTGTCCTTTCCAAGCAGTCGGGCAATTTTTTCACTCCAAATGCATACAGTCAATGCTCCCGACCCTCCCAGGAAACCCTCGTTTCTCTCCAATATCGAGTAGTCGTTGAAGATCTTCCGGTGTCGGTCGTCGTAGATACTCATCTCCGAATAACTGATAATTCCGTTAGTGAAATTATGTAAACATGAAAGTGCAGTGCTCTCACCAAGTCGGAGATATTCGTCTACCATATCAGCCGCAGAACCATAAGCAAGCATACAAATTACTGCCGTACATTTTTGTAGTGGAGAAAGACCAAACCTCCCGGTTTCATCTTTTCTTTGCTTAAAGAATGGAATGTACTCTGATAGGCCATATACAATATGCAAGAATAAGTCCTTATTCATGCGGAAACGGCGTCTGAATAAATGTGACGAGAATGTCGCATCTTCGCTAAAATAATCATTCCATAAACGGTTGTGTCTGGCTTCACGGTTCCGTTCTATGTAAGCACGTTTCCCTGGCTTATTTTGCTGAGCCTCCAGTATATCGTCGTATGTATCTTCGAGTATTCGTCGAATAATTCCTTCAGTCTTTCTTCCACTTCATCAGATGAAGAGGATGACATTTTAAGGGATGCTTCCTTTAAAAAAAATTGGTAAAGAATTTAAGTTATTAAAATTTAGTTTCAAATTGGTAAAATTTAGTTTTTAAAAATTTAAATTTAGTTCCAATATTTTGTTTCATATTTTAGTTCACTATTAGTTCTATATATTAGTTTTGATTTTTTTTTTAAAAAAAAAAATTTAGTTCTATATATTTGTTTCGATTTTTTTAAAAAAATAATTAAATTTAGTTCTATATATTAGTTTCGTTTTAAAAAAAAAATAGTTCTATATTTTACTTTCCACGATTTGTTTCAAAATTTTGTTAATAATTTGGTAAAGAAATAATTGGTTCAAAATTTACTACACAAGTTTGGTACACTAGTTTACTTAAGAATATACTACAATTGATTTATATCCTACACAATCCCGGGTTAAAAAAACGTGTTACTAATCAGATGTTCTTGAAAGCTTGTCAAATGAATCACTAATATGAGCTACACAAGTTTACTACACCAGTTACTAATCAGATCATTTTGAAAGCTTGTCAAATGAATTACTAAAGTTTGCTACACGAGTTACTACACAAGTTTGCTACACGAGTTACTCATCTCAATCTCGGTATATAAAAGAGAAGATCCAGTGTTACCTATAGTGATTGTAAAGCCAAAGAAGAGGAGCAACTTGAGATCGTTGAATATAAATCCAAGCAATAGAATCAACTTCTTGTACTAAAACGAAAATATTACAAGATCCAGGAACATGATACTGATATTTGAGGATACAATTTTGATGGAGAGGAAGCAAAGATAAGGAGATACATAGCTAGAGACAACTACTTATAGTACATAGATAAACCCGTGACTTCCTTCACTTGAGGTAAACAACAAAAGTCTTCATTCACCCGTGACTTCTTTCAACCTTCACTTCATACACCCGTGACTTCCTTCACATGACCTACTGCTGACCCTGAAAAACACAAACAACAGTACACAAACCCGTGAGCAAATAAGCTAATAATGTACAAGTACACAAACATCAGTAACAACTTAACATACAGTTAACATTATATCATCTGAGACATTAACAGTTTAAGAGCTGTCTCCATCTCAGATAGGGGCTCTTTTTTCCCGAGTAAACGTTCAAGCAATTTATTGTTAGCTAGTCTTTCTTTAACTTCCAACACGCTCTGTAAGCGTGCCAACTCTTCTTCTCTAGCACTCTTCTTCTTCTTGGTACCACCTTTGGCTGCCTTCACCCTGACTGGTCTTTCCTCTGCTTCTCCGACGTCCCCTTGTCTATAACCTCCGCCTGCATTTGTTTGCGCTTTTGACTTCCACCGTCCTTAGTGACATAAGTGGAGCACCATTTCTGGTCGTGCCTCAGCTCTCTCCAGGCATGTTCCATGCTGAATTTGACTCCATGATCTTTGTCAAAGAACCCTAACGCAGCAGTCATCACATCATCATCATTAGTGCCACTTTTCTGAGCCCTAAGAGCCGCGTCATAGCACCCAGCGAACTTGCACACTTGCTCATTTATTCTGGCCCACCTCTGCTTGCACTGCCCGAGCTCTCTAGGTACCGTCCCAGCCAGATACGGGCTTGCGTTGTAATACTGCACTATCCTCTCAAAAAGCTCCACAAACAGCAAGCAAACGGCGGACTTAACCATGGATGAGCTTCAGACCAAGAGTTTAACTCCGGTTACAGAGTCTCCGACCACCACCACCAAACCTGACGACGGTGAAGTCGTCAAATGTAGTGGAAACGCTCAGACTCAGAGAAACTCAAAAAACTTGCTCAAGACGCGAACTAGGTCACGTCTTTTAGATCATCCAACACCAAAGCAAGCAGCCACCTTTGCCTCCGAAGTTAGGTCAGATAAAGTCGGGTAAAAGCCCTAAAGAGGAAGAAGGAGAAGACGATCCGTTTAATGAAGAGGACTTACCAGAAGAAGAGTACAAGAGAGATAAGTTTTGTATTAGAATGGTTAAGTTTGATACTTATAATAATCTCTGCTTTGGTTTGCACATTTATGATTGCGTGACAAGTTACTATGTGAACTTAATCTATGGAAATGGGTAACAATGGTTTTAGTTCTGTTCGCGGGAGACTAGTCTCTAGCTGGATAGTGAAGCTAGTCGTCTTCTTTGTCGAAAGGAACTTTCTTAATTTTGAGGAAAAGAGTTTTATACTTTGTCTACCGTGTGAGAAGAGCAGTGCAGAACTGCACTGCTTATGGCTAGGTCAATTGTGTTACTCGCGTGGCGTTTATTGTATTGTTTGATGATAAAGTGGCTGAAGCTGCAAAGACCAACTGCTTTACCTTCCCTTTGCACTAGCCAATGCTCTAACAGCTAGACTCAACGATGGGTATGTTTATTTTTCTTTCTTTTTTTTTTCTTCGTTTTCATGATATTTAGTCTTTAATACATCAGATTGTGTTAATCTCTCTGTAGGGCTCCTCTCCCCTTGTGGATGAGTTTTGGGTTCTTCTTGGTTATTGTATATTCACAATGGCACTATATTTGCATTTTGCAACTTCAGTGATCCATGAGATCACTACTGCACTTGGAATCTACTGCTTCAGGTTTGATATACATATCTCTGTTTCTTTTAAACCATTAATTTTTAATTATTATAATTACAAAACTTGATTTTATTTAAACTAATTCGTCAGGATTACGCCTAAATAAACGTGAAAAGAATAATAGGAACATATATTAAAAGGTTTGAGAAAAGATACAATATTCTTTATAAATTGTGTCATACAGGTTTTGCTGATTATTAGAAACACTGATACATACAGAGCTTTGGAACTTGAACGCTTCAGTTTTTGTCTTTTTGATGTGTCTTCTCCACTAGAATCAAAGAAGAGAGTATGCAGTTATCGAGTTTATTGTGGCAATTAATGTGAAAAGCTTGTTGGTTGTAGATGGAATTGATGTTAAAAGGGGAGACTTGTGTTTTAGGAAATTTTATGTTTCAAGTTCGTAAGTTGTTGATGTATCTTTGATTTCTGAGAAATTTGATAAAAGCATTTCATGTGCTTGTAAAACATTTTACAAGCTTTATTGGTAACTTTGATTCCTGATACATCACGA